GAGATCGTGCCACTGCACTCCAGCCTGGGCAACAGAGCAAGACTCCATCTCAAAAAAAAAAAGAAAAAAGAAAAAAAAAGAAAATATTTGTTGAGAGTAATAAGGAAGAGACAGAAGAATATAATTTGAGAGACTCCTTCAAAAAGTGTGACAAGATTGAAACGATAGAAGTTATGAACCAGGCACAGTGGCTCACGCCTGTAATTTCAGCATTTTGGGAGGCTGAGGCGGGTGGATGACTTGGGGTCAGGAGTTCGAGACCAGCCTGACCAATGCAGTGAAACCAATGCAGTGAAACCCCGTCTCTACTACAAATACAAAAGTTAGCTGGGCATGGTGGTGCAGGCCTGTAATCCCAGCTACTCAGGAGGTTAAGGCAGGGGAATTGCTTGAACCCAGGAGGCAGAGGTTGCAGTGAGCTAAGATCATGCCACTGTATGCCTAGGTAACAGAGCGAGACTCCGTCTCAAAAAATAATAATAATAAATAAAAAAGTTAGGGAAGCCAGGCAGAGTGGAAAACAGGATTTGCTCTTGTAACTTTTGATGATCATGAAACAATTGATAAAATTGTTTTTCAGATATACCATGCTATTAATGGGCATGATTGTGAAGTAAAAAGGGTCCTTTCTAAATGAGATGGAGTCTACTGGGTCATAAAGAGGTCATGGAAGTGGATCTGGCAACTTAGCTGGTCATGGAGGAAACTTTGGAGGTGGTGAAGGTAATTTTGGCCGTGGTGGGAACTTTGGTAGAAAGGAGGCTATGGTGATGAAGGTGATGGCAGCAGAGACAGTTATGCAGGAGATGACGGTGGATAGAATGGATTTGGAGGTGATGGTAGCCACTATGGGTGGTGATCCTGGTCATAATAGTAGAGGGGACCATGGTGGTGGTGGACCAGGATATGGAAACCAAGGTAGTCCATATGGTGGCAGTGGTGGATGATATGGTGGTTACAATGAAGAAGGAAATTTTGGTGGCGGTAACTATGGTGGTGGTGGGAACTATAATGATCTTGGAAACAGCAATCAAATTATGAACCCATGAAAGGGGGCAGTTTTGGTGGAAGAAGCTCAGGCAGTCCCTATGGTGATGGTTATGGATCTGGTAGTGGAAACAGTGGATATGGTAGCAGAAGGTTCTAAAAACAGCAGAAAAGGAGGCTGGGCATGGTGGCTCACACCTGTAATCCCAGCACTTTGGGAAGCCGAGGTGAGTGGATCACCTGAGCTCAGGAGTTCGAGACCAGTCTGGTCAACATGGTGAAACCCCATCTCTACTAAAAATACAAAAATTAGCTGGGCATGGTGGCAGGTGTCTGTAATCCCAGCTACTTGGGAGGCTGAGGCATGATAATCGCTTGAACCCGGGAGGCAGAGGTTGCAGTGAGCCGAGATCAAGCCTCTGCACTCTAGCCTGGGGGATAGAGCGAGACTCTGTCTCCAAAAAAGTAAAAATAAAAACAGTAGTAAAGGGCTACAGTTCTTAGCAGGAGAAAGAATGAGAAGTTTTGGGAAAGCGGCAAGTTACCTTGAAACAGTCATCCCAAATGCATTAGAGGAACTGTAAAAATCTGCCATGGAAGGAATGATGACACATAGTTAGAAAACTTACTGTTGCTTAAACAGAAAACCCTTCTTGTTCAGGACTGTCATAGTCACAGTTTGCAAAAAGTGCAGCTATTGATAATGCAATGTAGCATTGGCTAGATGCACATCCCTATGGTCTTTTATCTGCTGTAGCTTTTTCTTTTTCTTTTCATTACATCAGGTATATTGCCCTGTAAATTGTGGTAGTGGTTCCAAGAATAAAAAATTAAGGAATTTTTAACTTTTCAATATTTATATAGTTCAGTTTTTCCACATCTCTGAACACTTTAACAAAATACAGTTTTGAGGGTGTTTCCTTGTGAGTTAACAAATAAAGAAGACCATTGTGAATTACTATTTTGCATAAATTTTGCTAACGTTAACTGTAAAGAAACACCAGCTGACTTGCAGTTTAAGGGAATTCTATTCTCCCCATTTCCAAACCATGACCTGAATGGGTGCTGACATGTGGAGAGAATAGATATTTGTATGCTTGCAATGTCTGTTTTAGATAAATAGGATTGGATATTTAAATTAGCATATTTATGAATGTAATAGCATTAAGATTACCTTCAAATGAAAAAAATCTCAAATTTCAAAATCAAAATAAAAGAAGCAAAACTCCCTCAAGCTGAGGGCCCACTCACCCAGGAGAGCACGGGCCTCATTATAAAACAGCTGGTATCTCTGTTCCAAGGCATAAGAAAATCATGCTTGAAGCTCCTTTCCATTGGGAAGGAAAACAAACCTGCTCCCCTGTTCTTTCCGCTTGACTTCTCTTCCAAGATTAGCATAACAGCTAAGGGCTTTAGCCAGCCAAGGCAGCTTCCCCAGGCTTCAGGAATCAAGCAGCCAGCCTCGCCTTCATAGGCGTAAGTAGAACTCAAGGTCATGCTCCCGTTCGGGGCAAAGTAAATGAGAACTGAGTGGCTCCACCTGGAAGATTCGATCTGTGGTTAGAGAAACTCACACAGAGTTCCATCTTGAGCTCACTACCTCTTCTAGCAAACCCTGCCTCCCCAACACAAGAGAAAAACCGTGATGTCGTTTAATCTCACAGGTTGTCAGGGATCATCTCAATCTTGGGTGCGGGAAAAGTAAAGCATTTCTCAGTGTTGGCTGCGCCTTCTATATCAGAATTCCCCGGGGGTACATGTTATAAATTCCAAGCCAGAGGTGGGTGCAGTGGCTCACACCTGTAATCCCAGCACTTTGGGAGGCCGAGCATCCCTTGAGCCCAGGAGTCCGAGGCTGCCGTAAGCCACGATTGTGCCACTGCACTCCAGCTGGGTTGACAGACCAAGATCCTGTCTCTAAAAAATAAAAATAAATAATAATAATAATAATAAACTCCAGGCCTGCCCCAGAACTATTGGATCCAAATCTCAGGGAGTGTTGGGCCTGAGCATTGCACTTTTTGTATATGGTGTCTGGCAATGCTACACACATGCTGATATAGAAGAACCTCTATCCTGGAAATTAAATAAACTCCGCTAGGCTGAGTCCATGCAGTAGTAGAAACCATGGAAGTCAGGGAGGGAGCAGGGGCTGAGGGATGAGAAAGGGAAGGAGGTCAGTGTCTATGCAGAGAACAAGAGATTGATACCATATGTTTGTGAAGCACTTTGAATTTCACTTTAAAAATAAAATTAAAATCACAGCAGCTGTTTTTCTATGATTTATGCAACTTTTCCAAGATGCTATTCTTCAGTTAAAAGTTTCCTTAAAAAATAAAACAAATTAGGAGTTAAATCAAGGTCACAAGGCCCCTCGCCAGAGCCTTGTGTTTCCTGTACTCGCAGCTTCTTAAAGGACTCCCCCCACCCCCACGCCCTTCTTCTTGCCTGCAGTGCCTCCCTCCTTTCTAAAACATTAAGTCCTTTACACCCAATCCAACAAAAACAAAAGGATCATTCTCATCTGTTGCAACACAGGATCTCAGAGAGGATCGTTTTAAACACACTGTGAATTAAGGTAGTATACAGATTCCAAGACTTCTTAGGGTGTTCTAACTCCTCCTCCAAGCCGGCTCACCCGTACACTGACAGGCATTCTTTCCTAGGAGAATTACATTTTCTGGTGGGTTTCTATGGTCACCACACGTGCCTAGCCTTGTATAACCAAGACCAGGAGGTCACCTGGCCATTTGGAAGCCAAAGACACAGCTAGCTCTGCTTCTAGTTTTACTCATCTCTGCACACATTCTTCAACCAATTCTTCTTCCTCTGGAACATACTCCTGAGTGAGCTATGTGCAGACCCCCTGGTTTTCACCAACCCCAAGACCCCAGCTGGGACTTGTGTTCACTGCCATGTTGTGCTTATACCTGATCTCACTGAAGATATGTGGATTTGGGGTAACTTAGAAGACAGTTTTATGCTTTACACTGACTCCCATCTGCTTTTGCAAACTTGAATCATTCTGACTCAAAATATTAGATTTTTGGTCAATAATCCTTCTATTTATTGAAGCCAAAAGGTATATTATGAAGGCCAAAATTATAAAACACTTTGATTTTATCTCATCTGTAAAATAAGCAGAAGAAACTGTTAGATTGCTTAAAAATCCTTCCAACACTGAACTTATAAATCACAATAGTAGGCTCAGTGTGGTGGCTCATGCCTATAAATCCCAGCATTTTGGGAGGCCGAGGCAGGCAGATTGCTTGAGATCAGGAGATCAAGACCAGCCTAGGCAACACGGTGAAACCCCGCCTCTACTAAAAATACAAAAATTAGCCAGACATGGTGGTGCACACCTGTAGTCCCAGCTACTCAGGAGGCTGAGGCAGGAGAATCACTTGAACCCAGGAATCAGAGATTGCAGTGAGCCGAGATTGTGCCACTGCACCCCAGCTTGGGCAACAGAACAAGATCCTGTCTCAAAAAATAAAAATAAAAATAAATCGTCTTCATTTTAGAAAAGAAGAAACTGGGGCTTAAAGTAATGTTGAACAATTAACTCAAAGTCAAAGAGTAGTGGCAGAGCAGATTTCAGGACTCTGAAAGCTATCCTTTCAGTCACTGTACTATAAGCCTAGGTTCAGCTCCCAGGCAATGTCCTGTGTGCTGAACCAGGGAAGACAGACCGCATAGACATTTCAGTTTAAAGCGTCAATATCTTCCCTGCGTCCCTGCCATTCTATTATATTGCTGACAGTAGAATGATCTATAATCCATCTACTGATCAATTAATATAGTTTGTGAAAAGCAAACAAAATCAGCTTCCTGGTCAACATTGCCCACTTCAGTTTTACAAAGAGAACATTGCCAAACAGCTATCCCCTAAAGGTTGAACTCCCTCTGACACCGGTGACCAGAGTGACATTCCAGAAAGGTTTTGAGAACCCAAGTGCAGCCAGGACGCCTCCCGCTGCATCTGGGCTGCCCCGGCCAACAGTGTCCCTTACCTGCGGCTCCTGCAGGCGGCTGCCACGTGATGAACCGGAGCCCGTTCCTGACTCGGGAGGGCTGCTTTTCCGGGCAGTGGCCAAATGTGATGACTCGGCTAAATTTTCCCAGCCCTGAATTCTTAACATACAAGAAGCGAAATTAGGAGGTGACGCAGGGTCTGTTCAGGATAGCGGGTCGGCACAGAGTGATGGAAAGTGAGAATCAAAAAAGAGGGGAAAGTCAAAGTTTATAGAGTATTGGGGTGGGAGTGGGAATTGTTCTGGAACGAAACCGACAAGAATACTGTGGGCTGGCACAAGCATCACTTGCGCCCTTTGCTTCCCCACGCCATGCTGAGGTGTTTTTCCTTCTCCTTGCTGTGATATCCCCCGTCATTCTTCCCTCATGTCAGCCTGACCCACACTTTCTGCAGAAATTCTGTAAACGGCACTTCTGGGGACCTTCCCTCTGCACCAAACAAAACGGCCCTGTCAAGGCCCGTTCCCCCTGCGGCCGCGAGATGGCGGCATGACTCAATGGACGGGCTCCAGGCGGCCTCTGCACAGAGATGCCGCCGTGGCTGCCCTCCTTCCTTACATAATCCTGTTAAGAGCGCATTTAATCTAAGGATGGGACACTGTGTTCCATGCCAGGCAGACTCATCGTGACTGACTGTTGCACCAACAACAAGAGCTTTAACCGCTGATGTCCCTTCCTGCTCAAGAAACACCATATGTCCTGAAAGGAGCGATTTAAGCTCTCAAAATGATTTGTTGGTAAAAAGCAAAGCAAAATTAAAATCAGGGAATTACAGCACCTGCAGAATTTAGGAGCCTCTCTCCCTCATCATCCCTTCTTCCCCGGACTCTCCAACCATGTGCATAAATCTATTTATCAATAATTAGTTATCGCCTCGCTCTGCCTTGGGTCATATGGAAAATATGTCCTAACAGAAAAAAAGAACAGTTGTATTTTCGAAGATGGAGGAGCTTATTGTTATGCTAATAGATAATGAAAACTTCTGTGTGCCAAATGTTGGGATAAATATTACATAGACTATCTCATTCAATTGTTACATCAAACCAAAAGTTAATACTCCTACTATAGTCTCCATTTTAAGGCTGGAGAAACTGAGGCACAGGGAGATTACCTTGACAAAGGTCATGCAGTTAATTCATGGCAGAGTTAAAATTCAGCCACAGGCAGGCTAATGTGAGAGCTTGGACTCAGCCATGATGCTATGCAGTGGACTGGTCTAGAAAACCCAATGAGGAGATAAGCAGAAAAATATAAACCAGAGAACTATGTCAGAGTGGAATATGAAAGAAAAAAGGCAGAAAGAAAGAAAATCGATGCTGCTGAGAAAATAAAGAGGAATGAGGCTAAAACACCACCCTTTTCAGATTAAGTTACAAGGGCACCACTGTGACATTTGAGGACACAATTTCAATAGAGTGATAGAGAAAGGAAGCTAGACTGCAAAACTAAGGGGCTATGAGGAAAGAGGAAATTGAGATGTCTTGCTGCAAAAGGAAAGCAATAAATAGACTAGAAGAGACAGCAAGGTCAGGCAAAAGCATTTTGGTTTTCTTGTGTGCTTTTTAAAATGGAATAAAGCCTGGGCTTGTTTGAAAGTGGTTGCAAGGGAGCCCTAATATGTGGGTGGCACCGAGTAGTGGTAATAGGAAGAGGTGGAGGGGGGCATCAAGGGCACAAAGGAAAGGGTTAGCTCTGAAGGAGGAAGAAAGGTGGCTGCCTCTGTCTGCAACTGGGAGACAGCCACAGAGATGAAGATACATCAACACGAAACTGAGAGGAATGGGCGAGTTCAATTCTTCCAAAATAGCTTTAATCTTTTCAGTAAAACCAGAGTGAGGTTATCGGCCAAGAGTGAGAATGAGGTTTATATGGCCATAATCTATATACTGAACTAATCCATGTAGTGCTTAGAATGACCAAAAAGGTAATAAGATTATCCAAAGAACAAAGGAGACTAGAGAAGGGAAGTCTGAAGTATGACTGTAAAGATTCTCTGCAGAATCTCTTTTGTGAATCAAAACTGAAATTTACATCCCCTCCTCCCCTCGAACAGAAACACAACAGGCACACTATTAATAATCCCTTGTGTCTAAAGTTTCTTTGTATTCAAGTTTTAAGACGTTTCACAGAGAAATAGTATCTTCTCTACTGCTAAATAGGAGAACTAATATGCAGATAAATTTTCCTGTTTGGCTTAAAACTACAAAGAAAACCAGGGCCAGAACTGGAATTGATGTCCAGGAGCCTCTCTGATACTTGCACAGTGCTGCCTTCAGCTCTACTAAACAATTCTCATAAAGGGCCTGGATGCAGCTAACTGCCCCTAGAGAATCCCAGACACAGCACAAACATGGGAAGCATCAAAATCAACTCATGATGCCCACAAGAGTCTAAGATTCTCCTTATGTGGCCCTGGGTCACAGTACTGTTCTTTGGAAATTAGAGGGCAAGTTTGATAACTTGATTGCAACATATTTGTATACCGATAACACGATGTCTTTAAAAGAACACACCATAATTATTTAATGTAAGGGTTTAATGACGCTATTTTCATTCTCAATTAACATTTCCTTATTGCCAGAAGTACACTGGGGCTGACACAATTGGAAAAAACAAAGAGGGTAATTATTTAGCCTGCATTACTGATGAAAAGGGCAACAGGCAAAGCTAAAGCAATCCACAATTCACCTTCTGTTTAGACGCAGATAAGGACAAAAGAGAGTCACCAATCAAAATGGTTTATCTTGGGTTTCAGGACTTTTAGAAGCACTTCCCTGTGTGTGTGCATGCACAATGTGTAATCAGGAAATTTATCTTTTTTATTTCATTTCTTTTTTTTTTTAATGAGACAGAGTCTCACTCTGTCACCCAGGCTAGAGTGCAGTGGGGGTATCTTGGCTCACTGCAACCTCCTCCTCCCAGGTTCAAGTGATTCTCATGCTTCAGCCTACCGAGTAGCTGGGACTACAGGCGCCTGCCACCACCCCAGCTAATTTTTGTATTTTTGAAAGAGACGGGGTTTCACCATGTTGGCCAGACTGGTCTCCAACCCCTGACCTCAGGTGATCTGCCCGCCTCTGGGATTACAGGCATGAGCCACCGCGCCCTGCCAGGAAATTTATCTTAAAGGGAGAGATTTAAGTTTCCTCCCTCTCATCTTCTTTCAGGAAATACATCCCCCGCACCCCGCCCTCCAGCTAAGCGAAACCCTCTCTTGATTTTCACTTCTAAAAAGAAATAAAATCAGCCACCTCCTTAGCCACAGGTTGTGATTACCAGCTTCTCATTCTTTCTTTCTTTCTTTCTTTCTTCTAGTGTTTACTGAGATCCTGCTTCCATGGAGGCAGAGTGCTCGGCAGGTGGGGCCAACACTCACACTGCGCTCTCCAGGAGAATCGACCAGCAGCGGACTTGGGACTGGGGCTTATGTGCCCACAGCGCAAGGCAGGAATTGATAAGAGCCAAGGAGAGGAGGTGATAATGAGTCAAAGGGCAGTCACTAGGGAAAACCCTTCATAGAGGATGGAGCATCCACTCCTGTGCTTAGTGAAACCAATTAGACAGAGATGAGAAACGCCTCTGAGGCAGGCCCAGCGAGAACACGAGGCCATGAAAGCACGCCAGCTAGCCACCCCGATGAGCCACCTAACCTGACTCCTCCACAATCCACTCGCCTCCAAGGTGGACAGCCTTGGGAGACCCTTCCCAAACTTCATGCCACATTTGCTTCCCACTCCTCTACCTACGCGTTATAATCTAAAAACACAGGTATTTTGGCTGCTAGTCTTTGCATGAAATAGATGCTGCAGGAAGAAGTTTTGGGGTTTATCCCTCGGCTTCAAATACCCTCCAGCACATGGAGACAGGAGTGCCCCATGGCCCAGGTCTCCTCACGCCCAGATGCAGTTCTCCAAACTCTGTAAACAGTAAGCTGTCTCATCCAACCCTCCATCTGGCTGTTATGCCTTCCGTTTTCTCTATTTTATTTCTTGGTAGTTACTATTGGTGCCAGAATGCGAGAAAAAATTCAAGCTCTTTCTGTAGCCTCTTGGTCTGGGGTAATCTCTGAAAATGATTTGCCTATCCCTTGACTCAGAAAACTCCACAAAATCACGCAAACCAAGGCGTTCAAATCTTTATGTTACCTTTAAGAACACCCATGTAACTGTGCAGGCCATCAAGGTATACATACCCCAAAAAACACCAAGTACCTGAAAGATGTCACTTTTCAGAGGCACTGAGTGCCCTTCCATCATTACAAAGGTGGAGCTGGCATGTGTGCCCAGGCCAAACCATGGGGCTGGACGCAGGCTTCATGACCCAAAAAAAGTGTCGAATTTTTGCTGCATGTGCTTAAAAATGCAGAGAGCAATGCTGAACTGCAGGGTTTAGATGTAGATTCTTGGATCATAGAGCACATTCAGTGGAACAAAGCCAAGATGTACACCATATTTACAGAGCTCATGGTCAGATTAACCCATATGAGAGATCCCTCTGCTGCATGGAGATGATCTTCGCTGAAAAGGAACAAATTGTTTCTAAACCAGAAGAGATATTTACACACAAGAAAAAGGCATCCCACAAGAAACTGAAGAAACAACACAGCCTAGGAATACATTCCGTATAAGATAATTGCAAATAATAGTTTAGCCAGGCATGGTGGCTCACGCCTGTAATCCAAACACTTTGGGAGACTGAGGCGGGAAGATCACTTGAGCCTAGGAGTTTGAGACCAGCCTAGGCAGCATAGGGAGACCCCCATCTCTATAGTTAAAAAAAAAAAATTTGTAATTACCCAGGCAAGGTGGCATGTACCTGTGGTCCTAGCTACTTAAGAGACTAAGGCAGGAGGATTGCTTGAGCTCCGGAGGTCAAGGCTAAAGTGAGCCATGATTGTGTCACTGCACTCCAGCCTGGGTGATAGAACAAGACATTGCCTTTTGTTTTCTTTTTTTCTTTTCTTGTTTTTCTTGAGACAGAGTCTTGCTCTGTCACCCAGGCTGGAGTGCAGTGGTGTGCTATCGGCTCACTGTAACCTCTGCCTCCCAGGTTCAAGCAATTCTCCTGCCTTAGCCTCCCAAGTAGCTGGGACTACAGGTGCGTGCCACCATGCTCGGCTAATTTTTTGTATTTTTAGTAGAGGTGGGGTTTCACCATGTTGACCAGGCTGGTCTCAATCTCCTAACCTTGTGATCCGGCCACCTTGGCCTACCAAAGTGCTGGGATTATAGGCGTGAGCCACCACATTCAGCCAAGACACTGTCTTTTTAAAAAAAAAGTTTTTTTAAAAAAAAAAAGGCCAGGAGTAGCGGCTCACGCCTATAATCCCCACACTTTGGGAGGCCGACACAGGAGGATCACCTGAGGTCAGGAGTTCAAGACCAGCCTGGCCAACGTGGTGAAACCCCATCTCTGCTAAAAATACAAAAATTAGTCAGGTGTGATGGTGCATGCCTGTTATTCC